CTGCAGAGGAAATATAAGCCACAGTTTTAAGCAAAAAGTTGCAGTTTGAATCAGAATAGTTCAAGCCAAAACCTGAAATCATGACTGAAGCTCGATTCACTGGGATGAACATGATTTTCATTATTTTCCCAAGGAAGTAGAAGAGGAAATACAACACATATATATCTTTTACAAATGTTTCATATGAAAAAGCAATGTTGACCAGCAGGAAAAGRACTTAAAAATAAATAAATCTAAGAGTTCCTAAACATTTGGCATATTTGTCAGTTCCAGGAATTTAACTTAAATTCTTCATAGTCCTAGTAAGTCCTTTAAGGAACAACACATATTCTGTCACTACTAAACAGCTCCCTTGATCATTCATACATCCAGTAAGAACCTCTTAGACGTGTTTTTCATACCAATCTGTAAAGTTACACAAACAGGGCTTGCCAGATAACATCCACTGCAGTCAAATTGAATTTCTATGCTGGTTTCAACAATAAGTATAATTACACTTAAGAAAGTTTGATAAAAGAAATTCGGGGCAGTACTGACAGTAAAGCTTGTATTAGAATTTCCATTTCAATACTCGTTTTGGAACTAAAACTTACCTATCTGACCAACTTTTATTCTAAAAGGCACATCCAGTTCACTCTGTAAATTGAAAAAAAAAAGTGTTAATCAGAGGAAGTAGTAGAAATCAAATAAATAAATTTAAATTACCTTTGCAAAGTACTGTATTCACACACAGAAATTAAAGGCTACTCTTTTTGTAATGAAAAACCTTACAGGGAAAACAAAAACAATGCAGATGGCAGCAGACAAGCAAACTAGGGGGGAAAAAGAGAAAAATTTGATCACATCATATTCCTTTGATCCCTCCWTTTCAAGAAAGTGTAGGCTACTTCTCTAAAAGTGGTGTTCACTGCTGAGTTTCCTTTAATTACTTTTGCATGGAAATCTAACACATTGCAATTATAAGGCTTTCAGAGCCACTCCTTGGTTCATGTTCTTGACTTAAGTCTTGGCACACTCTCAGCTCTGGTCAGTCCCATACATGATTGTGCATTTTTCTACGTCAGAACTGCTGGAATCTGAATCAGCCCCCAAAGAAGGAAAGGCGTACACAAAGCAACACTTCCTTTCTTATCTATGTTATAATGAAGATTTTTGTAACAATAGATGKAAAGCATAACAAAGTTATCAGGGATGGACAAGATGGGCAAGTAAAACATGAAACTTTAGAATAATGGAGAGAAGCCAATAATTAGGTCATACGAAGATCCAATGTGTTTTCAATGCAGAGAAGAGTAACAGTTCTCTTTAGGGAAGCTTGAAACACATTAAACAGTAGAGTGAGATTCTCTCAGTAGCACAGATGTTCACTACCCAAATTAAAGAACATGAAAGCCATTCAAGTMATTTGTTTTTCCAGACAAGAATATGGGAACTTAATGCAAATTACTTCTYATTTTTCAACCACAGCTTCTTTACTTTCTCAGTCCCAGTAACATGAGCAAAATTAGAAGCAGAACTTATTTTCAMTAACCAGTATAACATGACACTGTGYATCCTTTTGTGAGACTACAATAAGCAATATTTTAYCCTACARCTCAATCTTTAGACCCATAAAAACAATTTTGAAGTTATTAGGATACTTACTAATGCATTCTCCTTTATCTGTAAATTGTCAAGTGCCACATTACCTGTTTAGAAGAAAGGGACAAGTACAGAAAAAATTACTTCAAGTATAACTTACATTGGATAAGGAACACAACCACAACCCTCCCAAGTTCTTATGAATAAAACCTGGAAATCTTATTACCGTTACAGAATAGCACAATAACTGTGTAACTTGTCAGAGCCACTAAATTCAGGTTATAGACAAAATTTCAGCTGGAAGAAATAACAGAATCATCACCAAATTAGATACCTCCAAGTTTTTACTCTATTGAATACACCCACAATAATAGGAAGTCTTTCTTATTATTCACTTAGTTGTGAATGACAACGATAGTTCTATCAACATAGGGTAGACTTGGAAAATGGTGCCGTTTTTCATGATTTCACATAATAGAAAAATCATGAACCAYAGAGCCACAAAAAATACTTGCCTATTTTCACAAACACATTAACTTTTCCTGACGTAAGCAACATAATTGGATTTCTAAATGAAACACAGAATTATATCTGAGGAAAGCCCATATAATTTACCTCTTAATGCTTTAATGCCAGATTCCTTAGAGCTATATTCCATTTGAAGTATAGGTATTAATATTGTATAAATGTTAAAACGCGTACAACCACGACGAGTAAAAAAAAGGTGATGACCTACCTATGGAAGGCACCCTAAACGAGACAGATTCTCTAGGCAGTACTTCAGCTGGCTTTTTGCATRACTACAGGGTAACGAACTGAAGTGTTTTGATACATTCCCCGAGAACAGGCCCCCCACGTTATTGCACTCTCCAGTGTTTCGCACGCATTATTTACACCGATAACTGAAAGGCWCGGCTCTCCACGCACCTCATCAGCKGCACCGGCACCCAGCGCTCCCGCCGCCCGGGGCACTGCGCCATGAGCCCGCCCACACACCCAACAGCACCCTCGTGCTTCCACCCAGCACCCGAGACAAGGAATACGAGAAAAACAGCGGGCTTATCGATGTCGGCGGTTTCCGTCCTCGGAGCCCTGCGAGGCCAGCGCCGTGCGCCCGTGCCCCCGCCCCACAGACCGACCCGAGGAACGGAGTGCCACAGACCACGGGCACACAGGGACCGACGGCCCCCACGGGAGCGGGGCTGTCTGCGGCCACACTGACCGGCCGGCCTCACGGAGGGCCACACAGCGACCGCCCTCACGGAGGGCCGCGGCCCCGGAACTCGCCCGCTGCTCACAAGGGGCCGCAAACCCACCGCCCGCCCTCAGAGGGGTCGGCGGTCCCACAGCCCTCGAGCCCCGCACAAGGGAACCGCAGTCAGCCAGACCCGCTGCCCGTCCCCGGTGACTCCGGCGGACGAGGGGCGGCAGAGGGAAGGGGCTCCTTACCCCCCCATATGCCCAGCTTGAGCTGAGACTTGTTCAGGTTCTCCACATAGTCGCCCAGGAAGCGGTTCAGCAGATCCGCCACCACTGACTCCAGCACCATGGCGTAGGCGGCCCCGCAGCCGTGGCTGCCGGCTGGGAGGGGAGCGGAGCGCAGGGGAGGGGGCGGTGAGCGCAGCGAGCGCGGCGTGACCCAGCGCGGACGCACCCCCGGCAGTCAGCTGACGGGGCGGGGCGTGGGCCAGCGCCTGGCGGGGTGCGGGGGCGGGGGGCGTGGGGAGGGCTCGGAGCGGCGGAGGGGCGGTGATGCCGGGCACGGACAGACCCCGGGCCGACACGGGCAATCCCGGGCCGGCCGCTGCCCCTCGAAACGCGGGGCCGAACGAGCGCGCGGGGCGGGGCYGGCGCGGCGGTACATGGCGCTCCCTTGTGGCGCGTGAACCGCTACTGCACCATGGCCGCAGGCGCGGCTGCCCCGGCGCTTCGCGGAGTGAAGAGACCGCGTGAGGGAGGAGCAGCCGCGGGCACCGTCCTGATAACACCACCGACTTGACACCGGCACCGCGCCCCGGCTCCTCATCCACGGGCACCCTCAGGGCGCCGCGCCCCGGCTCCTCACCCACGGGCACCATCCCGGCACCGCGCCCCGGCTCCTCATCCACGGGCACTGTCCCGGCACCGGCACCATCCCGGCACCGCGCCCCGGCTCCTCACCCACGGGCACCGTCACGCCCCCGCGTCCCGGCTCCTCACCCACGGGCACCGTCCCGGCCCCGACACCATCCCACACCGCGCCCCCGCTCCTCCGCAGCCCCGGGGAGCCGTGTGGGTTGGGCTGCAGGCCGGGGGGCTGTGGGGAAGGCGCCCGGCCGGGGCCCCTTCAGTTCCCTCAGGCGGTTCCCGCCGAAAGCCGCTCAGKTACCGCCCGTTCCCCGTGTGGAGCCGCGGGGCGCGTTTGGGGCCCTGCCCGTGCTGATGCCGGCCCAGGGCGAATTGTTCACGTTAGCTCCCCTGGGACTGACAGAACTTAGCTTGTGCTTGCAGTGCCTAAGAAAAGTATTTATTATTTTAAAACTATTAATTAAATTATTCAAACTGTTAACCCAGCAGTTCAGGAAGCTCACAGAGGAAGGGGCACAAGTGAGAAAAAATTAAAAATTCTAGATTCTTTAGAAGTAAYAGCACTGTAGAGAAAGTAGGTAAGAATATGCTGCTCTGTGTGGTGAACCTGCAGGTAGCAATGTCAACCCTGGAACAAATCTTTAAATCTCGGGGTACTGATCTCAAACTGGTTCTGTAAAGTCATTCTGAGTTCATAGGAGCTCAGTTATTCATGGAAGCACAGCACTTGGTAGCTCAAAATAGCAAATTCAGCCTTAAAATGTATTCCAGAGAGCAGAAATCAATATTAGCAATAGGATTCAACTCAAAAGTGAAAATACATCAACACCACATAAATATGATCACAGTGAGACAAATATTGCTTTAAACAGCAATCAAACACATTGTGGAGCTTAGTGCAAGATGTTACAAAACCACAAATAGCTGAAGGAAACGATTTAAATTTGGCTAAGGAAAGGTCCATCAGTTGTTAGTACTCTGGTTCTGTTACAGCCTGTATTTCAGGCTTGCAAGCTCCCTCTTGCTGCAGTTAACGTAAAGCCAGAGAGCTTTGCTASGAACACTTTTGATTTTATTTGAATTGTGAACACTCACCCTCATCCAAATCCATGTGTCAAATGCATTTTCAAACCATACGTGGTAAAACCACAGAGTGCAGTCCAGAGCAACCAAACAGCACAAAAGGTTTTACCACCTTTTCACACAGTGTTAGGAGGCAAGTGCTGCACTTGTACCTCATTACTGTACATGGATATATATACACATATATATATGCCTGCCTTTATGTTCARTTTATTTGTTTACTCTTTTTTGTAGAGTGTTGATTGTTTTGGGTTTTTTTTTTGCAGTATTGGCTGTTCCCATCATAAGGAAGACACAATGGAAAAAAAAAACATATCAGAAAATTGTAAAGAGAGCTCCTACTGCCATTCTATTAGGTAATGAATTTTCATTTGTGATTTTTTAAAATGAAGYTTTGAAAGATTTTAATTTCTGTATATACAAGCCAGAGCTGAGTAAGCAAAGCTTAAGCAAAAGTACTGGCTAATCAGGGGCAGTTCATRCACTTAGTTTAAGTCAATTTAAGAATGATTGTGCAAATCAATGGCAGTAAATTTTCTCTATAACAATTATACAACATAACCAGGATGATATATCCATTTTCTACTTCATTTTTCTTAATGGTCATAATTTCTGTACAGAAAAAAAAAAACGAAAAAAAGTTAATCACAACTATAAAGGGTGTCGAAAACAAAAAAAAAATTTGTATGTGGTTAAATAATATCCTGATTGGCTAAAGTGTTGTTCTAAAGAATTTAAAGAACTCTGTAAATTTATCAAATCATTTTGCTTGAGGAAATGGCCTCAAATTGCCCCAGGGAAGGTCTTGGTTGGATATTAGGAAAAAATTTCTTCACCACAGGGTTATCAAGCATTGGAATAGGCTGCTCAGGGAAGTGGTAGAGTATTCCTGGAGGTATTCAAAAGACCTGTAGATGGGGCTCTTAGGAAATGGTTTAGTGSTGGCCTGGGCAAAGCAAGCCAAAAGGTTTGACTCTATCTTAAAGGTCCTTTCCARCCAACYGTTTTTCYTAGCAAACACGAGTGTATGATGAAGTGAAACAAAAAATTGCTCCTGAAGGAATTTGATTTGGARAAGAATACCAGCCAGTCACATTTGTGTCAGATATTCAATTTCAGGAAATCCTACATAGATTTTAGAAGTAAAAGGAAAATTAAACAKAATTAAGAATGGAAAACCTGTAAACATGGCAGTTTAAACAGGTATTTTATCAAACATWTGTGTGGTTAAGTACTGCAATATTACTTTAAGATAAAGACATATTTTTGCACTTCTATTACCAACAATCCTTTTCTAATCATCCTGAGCCACCCCTGCTGATAGGATACCACTCCAAAATGACATTAATGCAGCTGTGTCTGTTGGTAGGTACCATTCCTCGTGTGTTATCAATGAGAAAGGTAAACAGTCCAAAATGGGCTGGAGGGGAGGGAAACAACCCCAAAMCCCCCTCATCCACAGTTACGTGACGTCTGAATTCTGTATCTAGGAGAACAGATCCAGGACAAACAGAAATATTGGTATTTGCTTACCATTCATTGAATACACAGATAATGTTCATTCACCSTCGGGAAAACCCCAAGCATTCTGCTTGATTTTTCTTAATGATTGGTTTGATAAATATGAATAGAATAATTAGTTTTACTCAGCTGAAAGTAATCAAGAACATGGTGAAGTTGGTGTATAAAGGCTTCTTTTACATTATTGCAGCACTTTATTAAATAAGAGGATCTGATGATTGTATCACCGCACTAATTTACTAAAAAGAAAATATAAATACAATATTGTGACACTTTGTGTTAACTTTGCTATTTTATGTGACAAGACTTAATCAAACTTCTTAGGGAAACCTTTACCAATAATATGAAGCCTAAAAAAAGACAAGAAATCTGCATTGAAAGTATCAGTTAAAGCTTCAGTTTTATGAATAATTGTAACAACAAATATTTGTTTAGAGTTGCCTGTTACAAAATCTTGCAAGCATAAATAAATAATTGTCACAGCAGTGCTAGTGCTAATCTGAGSTGRGTGCATGGATTGATAGCTCAATAGYCAAGCTTTCTTCTCCTATTTTACTGCATTAATATTATAAAATCTCAGCTCCTACCATCTGACTGTTGGCAAGTGAGCAGATGGCAAATTTTATCCACTGTACCTGACTAAACAGAATGTATGCCTATTAGCAGTTGGGAAATCAGCCAGGTAATGTTGCATCAACTCTCATCACAAAGTCGACAGAGATGTGAGGACTTTATGTTGAGTTACATYAGGTTGCCTAAAGCCAAAAGTGTTTGGGCAACTTTTGAAAATCTCCAAAAACCAGTTATGCCACAGCCTCTCTGAGCAGCCAGTTTCTTGTCGACTCTGATTGTGAGGGATGTTTCCTTCCTTCCAGCTACTGAGGATTTCCCTTGTCASAATTTTGGATTGCTACAGTCTCAGAAGAAACTATATACGTAAAGCACATATTTTTGGACCTAACARATGGAAAAGATCAATGTTCATGATTTCGCCATTTTTCCTTTTGTAAAGAAAAATTTASTATGCTGTAGAAATAGTAGTATTTGATACTGGATTTAATTTTATTTATCTTTTGATTTAAAATTTTTACAGTAACTTCATTTTGCACTGTTTTTTATCTTGTTTCTAAGTAATACACAGGAGATTTCATTAGTGCTGAATGCACTTGTAGACAATAAGTGGAAACAAAAGGTGCTTAAACAATTATGTCAAATACTAAATACTCAAATTACATTACAAGAAGTAGAGTAGCAGAATAGTTAGGAAACTGCTAACAATTRGGATAATTCTTAGAAATTTTTGCAACACTTAATCTTATTAGCAGTAAGCAAACCCAACAGATTAAGATATATTAGGGTGTCTGATGACTAAGAAGATGCCAACACATAGCAATCTGCTTTCTCTTTTCCCTTGTGACAGCTGGAGGGTCTCAATTCTCAGTGGAGAAGGACTGACATCTGCAAAAAGCTGTGACTATTTCACTGCGTGTCCTTTCTCTCTGTGTTCAAACAATAAAATATAAAAGGTTTGCCATGCACAAATATGTAAGAATTAAATTATATGCAAATGGAAGCCTGTCTTATTCATAAAAATAACTTCAGTCACCTGCAGAAACCCCAGTTCTGTTTCTCAGAATAATTTTAATCCAGATACATTGTCTAAATCCTAACACAATTATTATCTTTGCCCCCTATAAAAATGCCACATCTGTTTCTAAGTAAATAAATAAATGTCCACCTATTATCCTCCAAGACAAATCTTGCATTAAATTATCCCCAATGGCTTCTATAAACAACTTTTCAGAGAAATCTAGATTTAAAAAAGTGGAATTCCCACTGGTTTTCATTGAAAGCCTAGGCCCAAAGATCTTTACAGCTTTCATGTGATCAGAAAAAACAAGGACAGCGAAGTGTAAATATCACGTGGTATGAAATAATGTTGTTTCCACAGATGAGGACAGCTCCATGGCCAATCTGATGGTGACAGGTGGTTTTCAAGAGAGTTTGAAGAAYCATTTCCTTTTTCTACTGCAACTTATCTGCATCTAAGAGATTTATAATAGAATCTGCATTTCTGCATGAATTTTCTAAGCCAAGAGGCTTARTCTATCTTATCAGAATTGGTCACATGCTTGTCATACGAACTGAGGTTTGGAATAAAAATTGCATTGCTATATTTTTCCTGAGATGGGAAATCTTCAAAAAACAGCTAAGTCCTATCATAAGAACGATCTAACTTAATTTTTTGTGAGGACTTTATTTGACAGAATTTCTGAGAGTCGTAGCTTTTTGCTTCAGTGATTTGCTGAGAAGATGAAAAAACAACTAGTTATGTGGAAAATGGGTTGAAATTAAAAAGTGCTTATTTGAATGAATATGCTGCCTTTAAGTGGGGAAGGAAGCAATAATAGTCTAGTCTGGACCAAACACATTTGCTTTTAAATTATAAGTGTAATTTCATTCATGGATAAGAACTTGAACTTATTTGTTGTGAAAGCACACATAAACATCTAATAATCCAAAGCCAAGACATTTCCCTTCCTAAAAATTTCAGTTCTTTGCACATTCACTTGGACTTTGAAACATTCCTCCACCATAACCAGCTAAGTCATAAATGAGAGAATTATAGAATCTTCTGAACAGCTTTTTAATGCAAATATGTTCTTTTTTTTCTTCACCCTCTTATGCACTGGCTGGGTGCTTCAAGGGATGCAAAATCTACTATTCAAAGCTGAACTCATGCAGGCTTCTCCCCAGTGGGTCACATCTTCTGCAGACCCTGCAAGGCCACGCTCAGGAGAGGGTAAGTTGCTGGGTTTGGGGATACATCTTTCCACACACCTCAGCAAGACTGCAAAGGCTGGGGATTACTGGAATCTCTCATTGCAGAAAAATATTGCCACRTAATTGTTGAAACTAACTTTCATATGAGGAACTATTTTTTGAATGGTGTTTTTAAAGCTTATCTAAATTCAGAGTTTATTGTATTTCAATTGAAGATAAGTACACTTACCATTCCAACTTTATTGTTTTATATGCATAATCTGGGTATTTATTATACCAGGATTCTCACATGAGATGTATGTAGCCAWGTCTAAGTGCCAAGTTATCAGTTATGCCACAAGTGAGACACTAGAAGCTCACAACATATATTTGAATATTGTATTTGAATTCAAACATGTAATATCTGCCTTTAAAATCTGTATTCTTTAGTTTCTGCCAACTGATTAGAGATACTGAGCAGCTCAAGCCTGATTTTAAGAAGAAAAGTCTGCCTCAAATGTCACTCTTATATTTGGCCTTCCAATCTTCCCTGAAACTTTAGTATTTGGCTTTTTCTAACATTCAGATACTTAAAGCTGTAGCCAAGAGTTGCAACTTCCCCACAGGCAATGCAACAGTGCAATACTGCCACCTCCCAAATAGGAGATTCATGTAAATATTGATACTGCTCTGGTGAAATTCTGACTTCACTTCCATTGGAAACTTTACTAGTGATAGTCCATAACATGGTAGTAGATGTCAAGTTTGACACTCAGATTGTTCTAAACCCATGTTTTCAATGCTGCAATACAGCTGTGCCAAATGAGAAAGCAGCACTGGAGTGTCATGGTCACCTYCTCAGCAGAAAGGCTCCTTGTTTGGTACAGCTCTCCTACAAATTAGTGCCACTTCCTTTTCCTTGTCCTTCACTTGATATTTTATTAATAAAAAGCTTTCCATAAAAACAGAGAGGAAGAAATGCCAAAGAATCAAGYTCTTTGGCAGCCTCCTACTCAGGTTGATTTTTTGACAGTTCTGTTCTAGCTGTATCCCAGTCTTTGTGACCTCTTAGGTACAAAGTGGATTGTCTCCACAGCCTCTTGCATGCTGCTTAGAAAGCAATAAAGGCAACCTGGCCTAGACTATATGTCTAGAATTAAACCCTTAATTCTCTCTGCATATTCCATGGCYCTAAATGCCAACATTCAATAATGAAGCTATTTATAGATTAGCCTGATTTCAGAAGCTTGCCTTTCTCATGAAACATTAACCCTCTGCACAGTCAGCATACGTGATTTGAAAATGCTGAAGCCTATGGATACAAATTGCATTTTAAGTTGCTGTACATATTGTAAGCTGTCCCTTATCAGGAGGAAGCTATTTAATAATACCTAATAAAATAATAGCTCAACAACTACCTTTTACAGGTCACTGGSTTTTTTAGGTGAAAGGTTGTACATGGCAGCTGAGAAAGGTATTAGGAGCCTCTGCTTACCATGTTTCTACATCTTTATTTTTGACAGCAGTGAACCATATGTACTTTTTTTGRTGTTACTATAACAAAGAACTACTCTGTTAAATAATAAACATGTACCTGAATTAGGCACTCCCATGCTGTGCCACAGTTGTCTATGCAAATCAGATTATTTGCATGACAAATCTCTTGGTTTATGCATTAAAGAATGCAAAGTACTAATTCTGAACAACAGAYACATATCAAGTTGCCTGTTACCTTACACATTATACCAAATCCTGGTAGCATAAAGGGGTTAACTGCATGGACACAGAGATCCATCTGGATTCCACGGCTAGATCAGAAACCACTCATGTTCAAAATTTCTTTAGTTTAATCTCAGTGTAAAAATCCTTTAAAATACCAAACTTATTGTTTTTGATCCAGCTGGCACCTCTAAATAGCAGTSTCCAGCATATCTTGTAGCCTGCCTRTGCCTGCTGCTCTTATTCAATCTATTCACCCTTATATACCAGATTCTGTCCTGGGTAGATACCCAGGTGTTTTGTCCCAAYATGAAGCATTTCTCCTGCAGACAGTCTGGGCCATTTCAATTTTTATTTTCTCTCCTCTAAAATGCACAGGATAAAATCAAYACAGAGATAAAATTAATAATAACAGTACAGTCAATCTTCACTTTAAAAATCAAGACCCTCCAAAAATGGAAGATATCTCCTGATCCTCTGGGAGAAGCTAAAGTCAGTGTGGAGATGCACAGCCTCCAAGCAAAATTCAGCTTGCAAACTGGCAATCTCTCTGGTGTACTCACTCTCCTATGAGGATCAATGCAGCTGAGCATGTCTAAGGGTACAATTCCCCACAAAACACATAATCCATGGAGTTTGTCTATGCTCACTTCATGAGAGCAGGGAGCACAACAAACATTTGCCATTACAGCAACCAGCAGAGCAGATTTTGTATTAGCATTTTAGTATAGCAGCACAAGAAAAACGTGGGAACTCTGACTGTGTTGTTGAAATTGTCTGGTCTGCAGTGAGATTTCTCCCCTGCAGAGGCTCTGGGACCTGTGAAGCTGATAGTGAGCTGCTCTTGGAAAATTCCATGGAATAAAACTGGGAGCATGAGATTTTTGTGTAYGAAGTACAGAGCCAGTCAGTCTTATCTTTGGTGAGCTGAATTTTGCTGGCAGTCTACTTCTGAAACTTGCAATCAGCATGAAAGGAGCACACCTCCAGACTCTATCAGAGTTGGAAACTATCYTTCCACTGTTCTAAACTCCATAGCAACACTCTGTGTGCACTTTGCTATTAAAATGGTCAAATCTGAAGATGATGCTACTTCTCTTGAGGCCAAGAAAAATGTTTGAAGTCAGGGATCTTCATGACGCAGCAGTTTGGCCAATAATCACATCAAATTTTATTGACTTTGAGAATATACAGTTTGAGGAGAGCCACTTTAAATTATAATGCTCTCCAAGGCATAGATGTCAAGAAGCAAAAAAAAAAAAAACCAAAAAAAGATTGTTCTTTGACACTTAAGCATTTGAGGTAYAGTCACTGAAGTGTCCTGTAACCCACATCCCTGAACTTTAGCTGGCATTTGTCAGGATCATCTGAGACAATCACCATCGCCTGATTTCCCATTTCAYTTTAACAAGACAATCTGCAGGAACAGATGTATGTCTTGCCTAATGCCCTCAGTCAGCTGCTTTTACCACTGAGGTAAAAGTTATGCAGGAAGGAAAACACTGAGCAGATGGGTGTGTTTACAAAGGAGTTAAACTGTGTGCAGAAGCACCACTCTTTCTGGGAATCAGTGTAGTCAGGAAAGGATAAAAGCATATCATAATTAATAAAAGCATCAGTCAGTTCTATCATATAGGAGTTTTTCAGGCTGTGATTGGAAAAAGAAGTTATTTCCAATTTTTGTCTTCTACAGTTAATACTAATGAGCTGTATAGAAATACATTTTTTCACTAACAAAGTATTTTGTATAACACTAGCTTTACTGAACATGTAAGAAGCATAAAGAATATGTAACCATAGAATGTTAGACTGGGATTTAAATAGATCAGACTCCAAAATACAACTATTTATGTACTGTAAAGACAATACATGACAACTTAAATACATCGACAGAATTTTAAGATTTTTACTTTTTTTTATGAAAGAAAATGTGTTTAGAYTACACAGAACCTTGAAAACTTTGGTGGACACAGAAGAATAATCTTGAAAAATACATTTGGCACATAAATTATTGTGTGTTCTCAGATAACTAAAAATTAAAAAAAGAATGTTTGCAGTTCCCTAACCTAAAATAGATAGCTGGATTCTATTCTGAGATTTTCATTTGTAGCATAGGGGARTGAATACTAGCTCTGAAGAGGATGTAACTTTTAAGATTTCCCTCTTGAAGAGGGTCCTTTGGATTGTGTCCAAAGTGCACGATTAATCTGTCAGACAGTGCAGAAGATCAGACAGTACTGGCATGTAGAGACAATCCATAATTAGCTGAAAAGCAAACYTCAGCTCATAATCCTGTTGTTTAAATTGAGATCAAAACAGAGTGATCTGAAAGTTGGCCATATTGACCTACTGTTGTTAGTCCTGGGGCTGGTGCAGAAATGAACCTTTATGCAAAACCCTTGGCAAGCTTTGTGCTCATATGGGTAAAGAAAGCAAATAATGAAGGAGGGTAAACAATAGCTCTGCAACTGCAATGAGATTTTCAGGAGAAAGTGTTGAACCAGAAAATGGCAGAGGGCCTGCTTAGATCTCTGTGGCTCCTTAAGCCTGGCTAAAGAGGCTTTATCCTCTCTTGCAGGCAATGCCCTTCGTCCAGCAAACCCAGGCCCTGGCAATCCCAGGYTGCTGAAGTGCTCTCTAACAGACAGGCCTTCAGCAAAGGGAAACAACTCCTGTTTCAAACATCTGATGCAACATTAACAAATAGCATTTCWTCTTGTTGGGCACACACTTTGATTACACACTGTACTAGCTTTATGACTTCATAAAGTAGTGAACACACGATCTAATCTGAACTGTCATTTTGGTTTGCTTATAATATTGCTCATTTTAAGTTTATAGTAGTTGGCCCTATGTGATGTGCTTCTATGATGCTATAATATTTACCCTTACCGTTTAAAATAATGAAATACAGAAAAGCACACAGAACTTGATTATGCCTTTATATGTAACAGACCTTAGCCAGTTTCTCATGAAATACAAGTGACGACTTCTAAAAACAAAGGCTTTCATTACAATAGGTTAACTCTTGTAAAGAAAGATGAATTCAAATATATCTACTAGCATTATCAGAGGACAAGTGAACATATTTTACAGGAGAATAATAGAAAAGCTTGGCTAGCGAGACAGCTTAGTTGTTAGTGCTTCCTTCTTGGGGGAAGATAATTCTGAAACCAGAGCTTATGCTCTTCTCAATTTTTATGATTTGGATCTGTTCATTTTTTCTTTTAAGGTTTCTTTTCTTTAACAAGGCTCCCATTCCTGTTTAGCCACATCACTTTCTTTGTGATTTGGTCTTTCTGAAAGCACATTAGATAGGGGGAACATACACGCAAGCCTTTAATAAGAGTTCTTTATATCCCGTCTGCTCAGCTTAAATTAAATTTCCTTTCAGAAGTCTCTTCATTTGTCTTCTTTTATGTATTACTGGAGCAAATCATATTTTTCCTCCTCCAAGGTTGGTATTTGAGCACATGATGGTCTCTACTGCAGATCACAACCATTCATTCACAGTTATGTATCTTGCCCACTGGTCAGGAGTATGTCAGGACTGATTTCTCATGCTGTGGGTCTTTGGCTACTTGATGAACCAAGCAATTGCCCTGCCTTGTGTCCCAGCATGGCATTTACTCAATAYGTCCAGGCAGCTTGAGTCTCTCAGTCTCACATTTGTTATAATTTCATGGTCACCATTTGGGTTTTATGACAGATGATTTTACTTCATCTGCCCTCACTTCAAGCAGAGCATTTCAATTCATAGAATTTCAGTGCTGTCATATACTTAGCAATAAAAAAGAAACAAAAAAATATTGTATGCAGAAGGAAAAAATAACCAAAAACAAACCTCAAGACTTTTCAATTTTTATAACATAAGATTAGAGTTTGAAATATTTGGCATAGACTTCTTACACGCTCATCAATCCTTAATAGTCTTGTAACATCCTCTGGTTGCCTTTTCTTCACTGTGTGCTCAAATTTATCCCTGAACTGTAGTGCTTAGCCATGAAAATTCTCTGTTCTCTGCYCCATCAGGAATGCTGGACAAACACTTTCCCAGAAGATACTTATGAAAAAACACTTTTTCTAATGCAAACAGGAACTGTCCAGTATCAGGGTTGCTCTTTTACATCCTTATGAATAGGGCTAATAGATAATTGAGAWAATTAATTCTGTTCTTCACTGCTGATGCTCCAAAATGGATTCCATACAGTCTTACCTAGTCCAAGCTGTGGGCTCTTAGCTCTGTGCCAGCACATAATGGGGGTGTGTGCCAGATTTCCCAGACCAGCCAACCTGCTCAGCATACAGTCACAAGATACACAGAGTTCATGGCTGCACCTCCTCCGTTACCCTCCTCCTTTTGTTTCAGCTCTCTGTAATCTGAAGCTCTGTTTTGAGTCAGCATAACCCTCACTCAGACTTCCGAGAAAACCGCCCAATTGTGAGCAACAGCTGTGAGACCATATGTCAGCTGGGGCTGGACAAAATGAGAAAGATAACTTTCCAGACAGAGGCAACATTGTTGAGATGAAGAATGTCACTTCCTGGAAAAGCATAAAGCCCTAAATCAAAAACAGGGATTTAAGGATGGCARCTCTGAGGGTGAGCCTGTACCAGGGAACAAGAGAGCACTGGTTTTCCCCTGTCACTGTCAGGTCCCTGCCAGCTCTCCTTAGCCTGGGAACTTGTCGTTCTCAACTATGTGCATCAGGCAACAAAGAATTGCTTTGTAATTTAAAGGTGTGTGTGTCCTGCTTGCACCACCTCTTTCTACACTCAGTTGCCAAAGCCAAATGACAGAGAAGAAAGAGGACAACGCCACTKTGCCACAGCTTCCAGCATGGCCAGGATGCCTCAAAAGATGTCTTTCCCTGAGTGCTGGTTCATACTCTGCACTCAAGCAATGAAAAACCTGTTGGTGCTTTGTTACATGCAGACAGATTGCCACTGGATGGAAAAAGCAAAATCTGTTCACTTGCAGCAAATGTTGGGGGAGGAAACCAAACAACAAAATAAACATCATCATTCTCATCTACTTCTATCCCAGTATCAAGCTWTATGGCCTACCAGTTTATCAGGGCCACTGCCAAGAAGACCTCTGCTCCTCATAGTTGGCAGCACAGAACATGGAARCACAGACCAGRAATCCCACTGATGCTCAGCAGACASAAGGTCAYAATGATAGCTGCTGTTTTGAAGTGTGAAACAACTTTTCAAGGAGGAGTACTCTTCTTGCTTTATTTGCAAAGATCCTTATTTACCTGTGACTGTGGAAAGTTTGTTGCATTTATCCACAAACCARAGGGAAGCAAAGATTAGTCTTTAATGTCACACAGAATCTGAAGTGCTGCCTAAACCAACACAAACTAACCGCTCTATAATCCCTCAGTAAATTAGTTTTACCTTTTTGGGACAGGAGGAAATGCCAGTAAGCTTAAAAACAGGAAGCTGAAAATAAGGCTCCAGCATAATTATATCACTTGTTTAACACAGTAGGGAGTAAAATTCAAGAAATACTGGTGGCCATAAGGTGATCACTTTTCTTTCATTTTGTTCMGTAATTTGGATTTGAGAAATTCTTAAATGAATGCATGTAACCTGCAGGCATTCATTGCTAACCAGCAGTGTTCATTAGATTTCCTCTGATCAAAGTGACTGCCCAGGCTGCCTTCCCCCATCATCCCCTGCACTTTAACCAACCATTTCCCACTGACAACATCCTTCAGAAATAACTTGGGAAGCTTCTGCTCCAGCAAAGATCTGGATGTTTTCTGTGGTGGTAGCAATCWTGTTAATGTTATTCTTTTGAAATAGGTTGTTTTAAAACTTAACTTTCAGAAAACACACACTAAAAATAAGTTCTATTAATCTGGGATATTTTATCCTCAAAACCAATAAACTGGTTCTGCTGCTTGAAAAACTGCTGCAATTGTTGGTTTTCTTACCTTGACCAATGCAGCTACAGTCCCTCCCAAATCTCCACTGCTTTACCTCTTCTGCTGGTTTGACTCTCTTCCCTCTTTTGTCCTGTGAGAGCCCCAGTTGTGTGAGCTGTTTTGCTGCTGAGTCCTTGGCCAGCTGGGCTGGTCCCCCCCAGCCACCACCTCTGCAGATGGTGCCATGTCCTGCCAGCTCCCTGAGGTGAACCCTCCCTCCTCTTGGTCTTCACTCCTCCTGCTTATCATGCATCCATTATGTTCTAGCACAGGATCAATGTAAGCACAAAAAATACAAGCTCTGTGCTGGGCCCAGAGCAGCTTTGATGGGCAAAGTCTGATTCTGTTTGCGTGCATGGGCTGAATCAGGCTTAATTACTCTTTAGAGTTCATGCACACACAGCTTGATCAGAAACAAGAACAATTAAGTCATTTTCTCATTAAAATACAGTCTGAGCTTAACATCCAGGCTAGAAAACATGAGACCAAAAACATGTGAGTTGACAATGCTACCAATGATGAAATTCAGCTCTAATGACAAGAAGTGTCAAGCAACCTAAATAACCAGCTTTACAAGCTACAGTTGTAAGCTTCCTAATGTTTTTGGTACCTGCTCATTACCTGYACTCCTCTGGAGCCATTTTTCAATAAAAGTTACAAAAATAATCTGTTTTCATAGGTTATTTTTACACAGCTGTTTGGAGCATGRTACGTTCACCTGGTGAAAGGATGTTAAATCAGCTTCACAAATATTTAATCAAGCTACAGCACAACTTTGCTTCTCTCTTTCTGTAAAGACAAATAGCTGTGCCTCGTGGTTGCTGTAGTTACATCTTGTTGGAGAAGGATCCAGGCTGGTCTCCCTTTGGGTTTGAGACTTTCTTGCTAGAKCTCTGGGTCAGCTAAAATGCTAACCAGAGCTTTTTAGAGAGGAAAATCTACTATTGCCAGGATATTTCACAGGTTTAAGATGAAGTGCTCTTTGTGTTAGATTTTTGGAGAGTTTRGGGGATTGTGGAGGGGTTTTTTGTGGCTGGTGTTGGTTGTGGTGTCAGTGTTTTGGGGGTTTGTTTGATTTTTACAGATTACTACCTGAGACTGTTGAAATAATAACTCCATAAAGTTAATTTCCTTTACAATATATTCACTGAAATGAAAGGTCAGAATTTATGTAATGAGGTATATAGCTGTCCCTCTTCTTCATGTGGTGTAAATTTTGTTAAATCTAATAAAAAAACAAGTCAGAACAGATTTAAGCATTGCCTGTTGTTCCTTAGAGAGCTTTCATAAGGCTTTCCCAGAAATACGGTAGGGTTTTTTTTAATTCCAACAATGAATTCCACCAAAAGAATGATAATTATTTGCAGTTTAGATTGCATGTATCAATGTTCAGATTTAATTAGATTATTGAGTTTTTGCATGAGGGTGACTGCAAACGAGCGCTCTGCTCCAACAGACGGTGGTGTTCCAGCATGGAGGCGGTTTCACTGCTGGGCAGTGCCAGCCCTGCAATGCTGAACATGTGCCAGCCTTGGAAAYAGAAGGGACCTTGTTCTGCTTCAACCTCAGCCTTGTCCAGCATCATGCAGTGACACTTGGAGGTCTTTCAGGAATGTGTGTCACAGCCCCTGCTAGGGCAGATATGGAAACAGCCTAWCTACTACACAGCTCTGTGCTGTATGAAAGCTACTGCCATGCATGTTTACAGAGCTTCTACTGAATAATGRAAGGACATTTGAAAACATCTCTTTCTAAAGACATATGAAGAATGTTTGTTTTCCCACTCCTAAATTAAAGTGGACAATACATAGASGTAGTAAAGATGGAATTTGCTTTAGGAAAGTACCAAGGAAGGAAAAAGAGTAAGCAGCATCTAATAGACATGAGATGCTTGTTAAACTGCTCCTGTTACTTTACTTCACTAAACCCAGCTACACCTGTTCTGTGTCACTTCAGAAGCCACAGTCAACAACCCCTACATGGATCCCCCCCTTCACAGGGGGCTGGATACCCTCTTTGCTGAATTGCAACCACATAAATCCACCTTCAGGGCCAACACATTACCTGCTGCAGACTTGTCTGGAAATGACTGAGGTAGGTAAGTAAAATACTGATGAGTTGATACAAGAAAAAGTGATAAAAATAGTATAGAATTCCTCAGGCTGCAA